TTATTTATCAGAATATGGTCTATTTTAGAGAGACTTTCATGGTCTTCTGAGTAGAATATACATTCTTTTGTACTTGGGTAAAATAGTTTCTAGTTATCTGTTCTATTTGATGTATGATGTCATTTAATCTTGACATCATATCTTTATTTCCCAGGTGACCCATCTATTAGAGAAACATTAAAATTTATAATTATTGAGTTGGAGTCTATCTATATCTTTGATTCTAGTAGTATGCTTTTTGTGAAATTAGATGCACCAGATTTTGGTTCAGATATGTTTAGGATTGTAGTGTCTTCTCATTAATTGTTCCCTTTATTAAAAGAAGTGCCCTTCTAGCCAGATGGTGGTAGTGCACACCTTTAATGCACTCGGGAGGCAGAGGCATGTGGATCTCTGTGAGTTCAAGGCCAGTCTGGTCTACAGAGCGAGTTCCAGGACAGCTAGAGATGTTACACAGAGAAACCCTGTCTAGTCTATTTTGCCAGATATTAGGACAGTGACATCTGCTTTCTTCCCTATCCCATTTGCTTGCAATACTGTTTTTATCCTTTCACTTTAAGGTGCTGCCTGTCTTCAATGCTAAGATGGATTTATTGCAGACAAGACTCCATTTCTTAATCCATCCAGTTAATATTTGTCTTTTACTTGGGGAATTGAGGCCATCCATATTTAAAGTTATTGAAAGGGGTGTCTTGATTGTACTCTCTCTCTCTCTCTCTCTCTCTCTCTCTCTCTGTACATTCTTAATACTATTTTGTGTTTCAGCAATTATAGCTTCATTTATTCTCTTTCTTGGAAATGTTTATTCCTCTACTCACTCAAAAGTATTGCTTATGGTATTCTGTGTATGCTTGGTTTGATGGATTTTAGCTTGTTTATGTCATGGAAAAATTTTTCTTTCTCCTTCAGCCCTGACAAGTAATTTTGCTGGGTACAGGAGTCTGGATTACAATGTAGACTACCTTACTCTGGGTTCTTCTGGCCTTTTTTTTTTTTTTTTTTGAGACAGGGTTTCTTTGTGTTGCTTTGGAGGCTGTCCTAGAACTAGCTCTGTAGGCCAGGCTTGCCTCCAAACTCACAGAGATCCTCCTGCCTCTGCCTCCTGAGTGCTGGGATTAAAGGCATGCACCACCAACACCTGGCCCCTGGGTTCTTCTGACTTTTAAAATTTCCATTGAGCAATTCAATGCTATTCTGGTGTGTTTTCCTTTTTATGTGATGTGTGGTTTTTCTATTGCGGTTTTCAACACTCTTCGTATGTTTAGTATTTTAACTATAATAAAGGAGTTTCTCTTTTGCCTCTGCCTACTTGGTGTTCTGTGTGCTTCTTGTATCTGTGTGGGTATGTTTTCCCTTGATTTAGGGAAGCTTTCTTCTGTCATGGTTTTGAAGATATATTCTATGCTATTGACCTTCTTCATCTATGTCTATAATTAAAAGATTTTGTCTGTTTACGGTTTCCCACAGTTCCTTCATGTTCTTTTCATATGTTTAATCTCCTTGCATTTCCTGCTGTGTCGTCTACTTCCTGTACTTCAAATATGGATAGTCTACTGCCTTCTATTTATTCCATTCTACTTGTGAGGCTTCCCACACCCCTGAATTTTCTAATGGGGTGAAAGACCCCTGAAGAGGTACTTTCGTAGAAGGAGACCCGCACCCAGGATTCAGCGAGACCACAGACTTGGATGCAAAACCGCAAGAGGTTTTATTAGAGACGCGGGTACCCGGGGAGACTTAGCTTCTGTGAGGCCAAGCGCACCGAGCCAAGGGAAAGGGGTCCTTATATAGGGAAAAAGGCGCAAGCTAGAAGCAGGGATTCTATTGGATAATTCTAATGAGGCATTGTACAGAGCTATTCCCATTGGTCAATGTAAATGAGGCGCTATACAGGGTTATTCAAATGAGGC